TGCCTTCACTGTTTGAAAGAATGTAAATATTTGTAAATTGAATGAATATTTCTATTTTTATAACTATTTTTTGTATACTATTATTACAGTAATAGAATTTGAAAACCATAATCAATCATAAGTTTGCAAATAAAACTGTTATTCATTGTCTGCTTATGGATTCACTAATCATTTATGTCTCCAGGAATTTGGATACCATTTATTCTATGATTAATTACTTTTAAATGAATTTATAATTTTTTTCTTAGATATTTCTCAAAAGAGATAAATAAAATAATCAATTATATGGGAATGAGTTGAGCAATATTAGGATCGATAACATTGATTAGTGATTGGATTACTTTAACATATCAATGATTACATTATGTTTGTAACAAAATAAATGTCATAATTAATTATGAGATATAGTTGTGTATAATTATTATTTTATAACTTAATTGTGTAACCATGCGTAAATAACAATAACACAAAAAACATAACTAAACACAGAGTTTTGAAAACTAAATTATTTGAAATCATTGGTTACTAACCGGCAATACCTCGATATTTGACACAATTTGCAAAATTAACTGCATTTACATTGTATTTAAATATCAATGCAATTAAATAACTAGTTTATAATTTTGTGACTCAAATAACACAGTATTTCTCTATTTTGTTCAACTTTTAACTAATTATTTATATATAAACTATAAATGAAGAGAGAAATTACAGATTTCATGAAAAATATAACGAGTTTTTGCACCAAAACTTTGTTTAAGTAATTTTCGCAAACGATGTAAACAAATGAATGATAAGATAAATACAATTTTTGACATTTCATTTACAAAATGCTTCAAATTTCTTGAAAGTCTCAAGAGTTATATTTTCCATAAGATTTTATTACATTGATATTAAATGTAGGGAAAGGCACTCACTGTGTGTCCCCTCTAATCAATCCATTACAAGATTTAGACTTTTAAGACAATTTTACTCTCAAAATAAGACAAAACATTATCACTTTGAACGAAGACATGAGAGATGTCTGTTTTATGGCAACGAAATGATAATAACTATCAAACTTAATTGATTAGAGTTGAAAATCCAGCTAAATATAGATATTATTTATAGCCGAAATAGAGCCTCAATACTGGAACCGATTGGCAAAGAGTTCACTAAAGCGATCGCTAAACCAGAAGCCAGTTGTAAGACAGGCCAAGAATGTGATCCTATTCCTGGGCGACGGTATGGGTATTACAACCATAACTCCGGCCCGTATTCTAAAGGGACAGCTCAACAACAGGTCCGGAGAAGAAACAAAACTCGCTTTCGAAGAATTTCCATACGTTTCCCTCATTAAAGTAAATATTGATTTTTATCACTAAATATGTTATATAAACACGAAACCTATCACAAATAGTTATAAATGATTATTTGTTTGATAAACTTTATTATAAAATATTATATAATAATATATCTCTTATAATCAAGAATATTACATAATACTGTATAATAAAGTTTAAATATTTAGTTTAGTTTAAATATTTATAAAAACTTTTATCGCATTTATTATAATAATAATATTTATAAAATGCAGTTCATAACATAGTTAGCATTCGATAATAATCATAATATGCAAAATAATAGTAATTATGTATATTCAATAATAGTTTAAGTGAATTACACCATGCACACTCAATAGGCATGCCCTTGACAATTTTCTAAAAACTTTTAGTGGCATTGAAAATAACAGAATTGTATTGCACTTATGTGTGGTATTTCGTGTAAAGTTTCCAACAAATTAGTAATTTTCACATTAAATTCAATAAAATTAAAATTATCATTAATTCAATAATATTACATATAATTTAAATTACAACAAATTGACTTTAATATTGTTATTAATGATTTGTGGCAGACATATAATGTGAACCAACAGGTGACCGATTCTGCCGCCTCTGCCAACGCCTTCCTCTGCGGCGTGAAGACCAACGACGGAACCATTGGTGTGAACGCAAGAGTTGCCCGATATTCAAACGATTGCGAGTCTATTAGTCGGAACAGTATCTCATCGATACTCAAATGGGCCATCGATTCCGGTTTGTCCACAGACTGAGTCTTAAAATGAAAATATAATATCAATTATACGTATAATTAATAGGAAAAAGTGCTGGTATTGTGACGACAGCTCAGATCACGGACGCGACCCCTGCGGCCAGTTATGCGCACATCTCGAACAGGGACTGGGAGTTTGCAGTTCCCGCGAATATGACCGGCAATTGCAAAGACATCGCCCGACAACTCATAGAAGACGAACCCGGATCTAAACTGAAGGTAGTGTTGGGCGGCGCCAGACGTTTCTTCATACCCGAGACGGCGACCGCAAGGGATGGCAAGAATGGGGTCCGAAAAGACGGCCGCAATCTGATTGACGAGTGGCACAGAAAGCGCAACGAAAGTGGACTCAAACCAAACGCCTATCGTTTCGTCGAAACCAAGTCTCAACTCAAAGACGTTAAGCACAACGAAGTCGACTATTTGTTTGGTTTATTCAATTACGACCACTTGTCGTACGACAGGGAAAGGGATCACTCGGACTCAGGCGAGCCATCGCTCGAGTTGATGACCGAAACGGCAGTTAAGCTGTTGAGTCGCGATCCCAACGGATTTGTGCTGTTGGTTGAGGGCGGGAACATAGATAAAGCACATCACGATAATTACGCCCAATTGGCTCTTTACGATGCCGTCGCCTTCGATAAGGCCATCACTAAAGCCACTAAAATGGTGTCGAGCGCCGACACCTTAATGGTGGTCACTGCCGACCACTCGCACACCATATCGTTCAACGGTTACACCGAACGGGGAAACTCTATATTGGGTCTGTCGGGTAAAGACTCCAATAACAAGCCCTACACAACACTAATGTACGGCAATGGACCCGGATTTCAAGAGGTCAGGGATGACCTCTCAAACGTCGACATCTGTAAGACATTTATAAACTGATTTAAAGCTTTCGGACAAATCTAATGATTGCCGTTTATGAGCAGCCAATCCCCGGTACCAGTCGTTAGCTTCCGTGCATTTGGACAGCAACTGTCACGGCGGCGAAGACGTGGCCGCGTATAGCGTGGGCCCAATGGCTCACTTGCTGTCGGGCACTCAGGAGCAGTCATACATCGCTCACGTGATGGCATTCGCCGCCTGTATCGGCGACTACACCACTGAATCCCATTGCGGACAACAGTCTCGCCGTACATCTGCTTCTCATCACAATCTAATCGACCAAAAGTTATACACATTTTGTTTATTCATTCTTATACTCAAATACTGTTCACATTTTTATAGACAATCTTAATGTAAACTAAATATAATATCATATCTTTAATGATTAAATTGTTTATCATTTGCTTTTTTGTTGAATTCTTGTGAAGAATGACAAGAATTTATTCAATGATAGAATATATGATAAAACTATAAATAATTGGCAGATAATAATGAAGTTTAAATTAATTATGAATAAAAATGAGATTTTATTTATGGGTAATAAAAATAACTTTTAAAACAATTTTAATTGTTTGTAATTGTAATTCCTGTTAAAAAAAAGTAATAAAACGATCAATTATTAAAATTTTAAACAATAATTATAATGATTTTTAATTGTGATGAACTTTCTCGTAATACAAGTAGCAAAATATTGAATATTTAATAATAGAAATATTTTCAAGAATTGAAAGTCAATTGCAAATTAAATTGAATTTAAGAGTGAAATCAAATTTCTAACGAAATAAAGAAAGTAATTAGAGAGAAATTAATCAAATATTTTCGCATCAAATGCATATAAAACAAGATTAAATAATGATTTTTATAAATGTTTTATACATATGATTATTCATTAAATCAAAACAAAAGTAATTAATCTAAATCTTATATGACTTTATATATCACACCAACTAAATCAATGCAAATCATAATCATTTCAAATCATATTCCAGACAATTATTGCCAAAACAATTTCCATTCGCATTAATAATTGCTATAAATAATAATAAATTGAAAAGAGAAACAAATAATTGAAAACATAAATCAAATCAATGAGAAAGAGATGAAAGTTATAATGGATAGCAATATGTGGTGCAGATGTGCTAAACGGCGAACTCGTCGATATACCATTGCGGAAGTATTTGGAAATCTCCCGGTTCTACGAGTCGGGTGCACGTGATGTCGTGGTGCGGCTGAAACGCCAACTGATAGACAACGTTGGGGTCGTCTATAGTGACCAACTCTTTCAAATGCAATAGAAATTTGTTTAGGAAATTGAGACAAACGTTGGCCGACCAGAACTCGAGGCACAGTTCGGGAAAGCTCTCGATCTTCAGCTGTTCCACGTCTTTCACCACATTCTTCTCGTCTTTATAGCCGCAGTATATGGAGGGGACGCCCACCAGATAGGACTGCGCCCACCATTTCAATAGCTTGTGCTTAAGAAAATTCCTGTATTGGAACTCTTTGGCCATCACTTTAGTGGTCTTGAGTTCAACAAAATTAGACAGAGTTCCCGGATTTTCCCGAAGGTTGGGCACAACGCAATCCAATTCGGCTCCGAATGCCAATGAATGCGACACGTTTTCGGCCATCAGTCGGCTTCGCATAACAGCGCAGTACTCGTGATGGTCGGGATCGAAGTCGTTGGGATCCGGAGGAATAGTCGGGTCATAACTCGTCACAAAGCTCTCGAACCGAAAGCCACCGAAACTCATTTTATTGTAGTAGTCGTCGGGCGGCGGATAAGACTCGTGGAATTGACACAAATAGATGGTTCCCCTGTATTTGGTGGCGCAGATCACCCAACGATGCGACGTCTCGTACGGTGTGGTCATAATCTTCGCCAACAGCCCTCTGTAGCAAACGAAGTCTGTGTGCAGTTCTTTTGGCACCAGTTCTCCGGCGACCATAAACTTCTTGCGATTCCTTAGAATCCATTGCAAGAGTTCGTCGATCTTAGAGTTGGACGGCTTTCCCCAATGAATATCACTGACCATATCGTAGCCGTGGTTGAGATCGTAACTCAATTGACTGATGGCCGGCGGGAGATGCAGATACTTGAGTTCAGAGCCGTCGGGGATAAAGATTCGATTATCACTTCGAGTACTGATTTTCAGCGAATATTCGCCTATTTTGAGCGGCTGTCGGAGGACTGTCTTCTGGGCGAGCATTCCATTCGTTTCGATCGACATTGGCTTCAAATCTGTTACCTTTTCCACAGAGAAGATGTCGGACCACATCTGAGGGTCGATTCCGTTCTTCGCGTTGTCGGCCACAGACGTCACTGTTGTGGTCAGACGTACGGCACTCACCAACGCTTCCACTTCTTGGTCTTGCATCATATGAAAGGGTTTGGTTGGAGTGGGTGTCGGCTCTGGCGGCGCCGGTTTGGCTGCGGCGGCATTCGTATCGCCGCTTCCGTTAACCATCGATTCTGTGGCCGTCTTCTCCTTCTCATCGTCTTTAGTTGTGTTCAATCGTTTCGCGATTCGCGGATCCATTCGTTGCGATGTATTTAATGGTCGCTTAAGTGGATTCTGCGCTGAAGTATGCGGTGATCTGGTTTGCGGTGTGACTCGTGTAAACGCTGGCGAGATTTGGGACCTATTAAGTGGTGTGTTTTGCGGTGTCCTCAACGGTCGGTTAGACGCGACGGCCGGTGTCCGCGGCGTCGACTGCGATGTCGTCGGTTTCTGCAAAGATCTCCTGAGTTGAGATGTAAAGACTGGTCTCCTCTTCGGGACACTTCTATTCAAACTCTTCGAGCCTTAAGTCAATGAAAGACAGTTTTGCGTCAAATATATGGTTTAGAGACATTCAATCGCAGGAATCGCTCATTTGTATCGCATTTAAGGAAAACATTAAACTGATTATCACTTCAGATATCAATTAAAACAGATTTTAAACAAAAATATGAAACCAAAAAACGAGGTAAAAGTTAACGTAAACAACAGGACATGTGTTTCAAAGTTTAGGGACCACTCAATAAGTGTCACAAATATCAGCACTAAATCTAATGAATTAAATTTGAAACTAAACTTGTTTTATGCGTTGAACTAAATATATCTGATAACGGATTAAGAGATTAATATAATCCGTCATTGGCTTCAAATGCAAACCAAATTAATCCCTAAACTAGATATCATTCACAATATAATAGATTTAATGGCAATTAAAGGGCAAATGGCATAGAAATGAATGGCGCATACGTTTGGCACTTCGCGCTCGAAGCCGTTTCGTGCTTTGATTGGCCACCAAATCGGTGATGTGTGCCGTCGAGTCGTCCACCACTGGGAACAAAGTCACCGATTGGTTGGCGTCAAAGATCGGGCGAACCATATCTTTCATGGACTTCAATAAATCAGTCAGAGTAGCGAAACCCAACTCTTTGTACGGAACCTCTTTGCCTATCAATCAAACACACAATTAGACATTATTATAGTCACCGATTGTCACCGGCATCTGATCCATACCTTCGATATCCTCGAAATCGCGGCATAATTTTGTCAAAGAGATACCCAATGGACTGGAGATGACGAGCGACTTAATGGCTATCTTCGTGTCCGTCAACAGATCGCTGTCCTGAAGCGAACCCATTGCCGGCCAATCAGTGGATCAGTTGCGGTGATCGACGCGATCTTCGCCGGTGAGCGACAACTCAATCAAAACTGAAAAATAATTGACGAAAACATTGAATGATTTTTTGGTGATTACATGTGTTTTAGCGCCAAATATAACGCAATTTCAAACACTATTCAATGAAAAGCCTGTAAATGAGTGGTTATTATAGACTATAACGCAATTCACATGCGATTCAAACGTGTGTTTAATATACAGAAAATAATTGCAAATCTGTTGACAATTAATTGATTACAAAATTAATAATGATTTGAATAAATGCTGGCATTTGTTGACAACACTCAACAGCACTCACACACTGTGTCTCACAGTCTGTGTCCACACAATCACGTCATTAATGAACGACACATTCATTGCATTCAAAGCACACATTATTGTTGAATGCGTTGAACGCTATTAACGCTGAATCATAGCCACAGTGACTGTCAGTCAACACAATACACACATTTGAAGATCACTTTTGGGATCAATTCAGAGATTGTTGTTTAGGTTTCGCGTCTCTACTGAAAGCCGTGGAAAATGCCGGTCGAGAACCTCGAGGAAGAAAGTCTGGCCAAAAACCCGAACCTAGAGTTAGCCCAATGGAAGTTCGCGTTAACCACCGATCAGTTCAAAGACAATCGCAAAGTAA